CCCCCCCCCCCCCCCCCCTCCATTTCTAGGCGTCGATAGACTGGATAAAGATCTCACCATTGGCCAAATGCAAGGTAAAAGTCTTCAGCTTTCCGGTCCAGGGCGGGTTTTAGGAAGGCCGCCTTCTTCCCCACTGACTACAGACATCCGCTGCCTTCCTTCCATTCATTCAGTGAACCTACCAAGGCCATTATATTCTGATGCATTCGCCGGATTCTCAAACGATTAAAAAGGTGCCCTCCTTAACAGCAGCCACTTCCCCAAATTTAATTGGCGTATTTTATTTTTTTATGCTGCCCCAACAAGGCCCCTCGTGTTTCTCCGAAGTCGTAGGGTTTCTTGGCTTGAAACAGGCCCAAATTTCCTTCCCCTGGCTTGGGTGGGATCCCCGCGGGACTCGAACTCACGACCTCCTAGACCGGGGCCTTAGCCCTTGACCCAACACCCGGCTCTCTTCTCCTTTTCCCCCGCAGGGAAATTCCAGATCCAGGTGCTCCCACAGTGCGGCCACGCAGTCCACGAGGATGCTCCGGAGAAAGTGAGTGCGCGTGGTCGTTTGGACCTTCTCCGTGCTGGACTCGAAACGAGGTTGCCGGGTCAGGCTCGTTCAAGGGGGGGGCTAAGCTGGTTGCCCCCCCCCACACCCCTCACCTGAGGGGGTGTGTCCTTCAGCCCCCAGAATTCCCTAACCAGCAGGGTCATGGTTTTGGTTGGCATGAGATTAAAAAAAAAAGACATTGAGACTTCGAGAAAAGTCAATACTGCCTCCGGTTTTAGTCACCAGACTATAAAAAGGAGGTTGAGACTCTGGAAAAAGTGCAGAGAAGAGCAACCAGGATGATTTTAGGGGACTGGAGGCTCAAACATAAGATGGATGGTTGTAGGAACTGGGCCTGGCTAGTCTAGGGAAGAGAAGGACCAGGGGAGACAGGAGAGCATCTTCCAATATTTGAGGGGCTGCCCCAGAGAGGAGGAAGGGGTCAAGTTATTTTCCAAAGCACCCGAAAGCCAGACAAGGAATCATGGATGGAAACTGACCAAGGAGAGATTCAACCTGGAAATAAGGAGAAACTTTCTGACAGGGAGAACAATCCACCCATGGAACAGAAGTTGCCTTCAGAAGTTGTGGGAGTTTCATCCCTGGAAGCTTTCAAGAAGAGACTGAACTGCCATTTGTCAGAAATGGTGTAGGGTCTCCTGCTTGGTCAGGGGGTTGGACTAGATGACCTCCAAGGTCCCAGCGCTAAGATTCTGTGACATACGTAGATAAGATATATATGATAGAAGATAGGCAGGTCATATAGACAAGAGAAAAAGATAGATGGAGAGAGAGAGAGAGAGAAATGATAGATAGATGATAGATAGATAGATAGATAGATAGATAGATAGATAGATAGATAGATAGA